CGAGAACACCTCCGTCCAATGCAAACAATTGTCTCATCGAAGGTTTCACGCCGTGCGAACGGACAAAGCTCGTGGCTTGCTGCCCGCCTGAGAACAGCCAACTGGCTTGCGAATTCAACGTTGGACAGGCTCTCGTTAGCTTGAGCATGTTCTTCTATCGGAAAAGACGCAAGCCACAGCTTTCGATACAGCCCCGTCAGCAGCCCCGAAAGACGTTCTACGAAAGAAGATTCGCTGCTGAACTCTCATAGTAGTCTCGACTACTTATTTTTGTCACTGTGGGATCAGGCCGTCAGCTGGGAGTCTGGAACAGTAAACCTGTCGCCGCCGTCTCCACATCCGAGGGCGGGCATTGTCAACTTGGGCGTTGCATGGTACCTGCATTAGCGCGAGGTTTTGTTCCTGAATCCTGACTTGATTCGCACACTGCTTGACACTGGTCCGTCAGCCGTCAGCACCGGCTGCCGCGGCCACAGGTGAGTTGGCAAACACGTCTGAATGCGTGTCGCATTCACTCAGCTAAGGCGGAGATATCGGCAGGGGCCTGACAGAACGTCTTACAGTCAAATGAAAGATACGACTGTCACTGGCAATGCTGGCCGACGGATGGCGGCCTGGAATTTCGGATCACGGCTGCGCATCAAGCAAAGGCTTCCCCGCCTTTGAGCAAGCATCTCTGCCGAGAAACGGCTGGCCAGTGCTATTGGATCTGCCAGCATGACAGGAAAGAGCGATGCGTACGTGTACGGATCTTTCGTGTGTCTACGGAGTATCGCCAGCTCGCTGCCCAGATGCTGATCAACGGTTGGCCGACCCGCTGAAAATGCTCAAGCTTACCTTGAGTCCTTGACTCTGTTTCCTGAGGTGGGCTCGAGTCATCTCATCTCGCTCGTCCGAACTCCTTGCAGATTCGGAGCGATCAGGAGGGCCGCGACCAGAGTCGAGGACTGATTCCCACGCAAGGAGTTTTCAAAGGGTGCTTCCGAGCGACAGTGTGAAGCAAAACACAGACGATCAACGAACGATCTGATGAAGCAAAGCAAGCGCTTGCTGGTCAGTCACCTCGTGGCTCTATTCGTACTCTATCTTGCTACACCCAATAATACCCGGATCTAAGTGGTCATCTGGGTCCGAGTGGGTCAAAAGGTAAATGAATCCCACACCTCAATTCCCGCGCTCCAAGGTCGGTCCCCTCTGTGTGCATATTCTTCCCATCCTCTTTCACACCCCCATTTGATTTCATCCCATTTTGGAGGGTACGTACTCCGAGAATCAACTTCTAGCCCAGTCTTTTCGACTTCTCTTTTGCTTTTCCCGTCTTCTCTGCGCAACCACACCACCAAACTTGTCAATCCTATTTTCCCGCCCCCCTCTCGGCCAAAGGGGAGTAGCCGCTTCGTCTGCCTGGCCAATTCTGGACTGCCAAAGCCACCAGCAACAAACGTAGGAAGCGCAAAAAAAAAACACGCACAAGCACATACACCATACCTGGTCTACCCCCTTTCCCGTCCGTCCACACAAGTCATCCACAATGGTCTTTTTTTCGTGTTTACTCCCCTCGTTACCAAGAACCCGTTCGTCTAGCCCACTTCTGATTCGTCCCAAGTGAAATAAGCTGGTCAGTGAATAGCGAAAGAGAACAGAAACCAGCCCCCCTTGTTCAGCCATGGATCGTGTCCCTCTTAGCAGGGGTCTGGAGGAAAGGCGGCGTGTGCTCTCTTTCGCCCTCCCAGTCCAGCTCCTCTTCTCATCTCCAGGCCTGGGAGATGCGTTGCTCCACCCTTCATGACCGGGCGAAGGTACCGTCGTCCCTGACCCATCCCATTACCTTACCGCAAGGCAGGGCCCCAAGGTAGTGTAGCACAGGCACTAAGGTAGAGAGCCCAGTCAGTGTCCACCGCCCCCAGTTCCCATGTCGTGTTCCATTGCGCCCATCTCTGTATATAAGTTCATTTCCTCCAGGCCATCCCGTCTCCCGTTTCCCTTTCCCTCCTCACCCACACTCACTCATTCAGTACCGACCCAGACTTTTTAGTCGCTTTCACTCGTTAACCCAACCACCTAATCCTCAACTCGCATCTACAACTCTTTCGAGTCTTAATACCAAGTTCTCCTCCCCAAACAACCGTCAAAATGAAGTTCTCCGCTGCCGCCCTTGTCCTCGCCGCCACCGGCGCCATGGCCAACAAGAACGTCACCTACGTCACTGAGGTCGTCTCTGCCTACACCACCTACTGCCCTGGTCCCACTGTCATCTCCCACGCTGACAAGACCTACACCATCACCAAGGTACGTCGAATCCGGGAGGTGGACGGGATGATTTCAGAGTGTCTCGGCGCTCGCCGGCCAAGCGCCGGCTTTTACGCTCCCCGAGACTCGGAGATGGCCCGACCTTTCACCTCCAAAAACATGTCGATCTCGAACCCAAGCTAATAACATTCCAGGCCACCACCCTGACCATCACTGACTGCCCCTGCACCGTCACCAAGCCCGTCATCACCTCCTCCATCGTCAAGTGCGAGAACTGCGCCGCCCCCACCAAGAACGGCACCATCCCCGTCGCCACTCCCGCCCTCAGCAAGACCACCGTCGCCGGCACTGCCGCCATCACCCCCACCAAGCCCGTCTCCGTTCCTACCGCCGGTGCTGGCAAGGCCGCTGCCCTCTCTGGCGCCGGTCTGGCTGGTGTCCTCGGATTCGCTGCTTTCGTCCTCTAAATCAACATTCACGTCTCGCCATCCACGTCTCCCCCTACGATCTTTGACGTACGATAATATTTTAATTTTCGTGGGGAGCCTACGACACCTAATGACTGGAGCGCGGTTGTGAACCCATTCGACACGCAATCGACTGGATGGGTACTTTTTTGGATGGGAGTTTTGGGAGTCTCCTTGGATAAGGAGAGCTTGGGAATGGGTCCCAAAAACGACGGAGAAAGGAAACGACACGCCCACAGAATACCCGGTACATTTTCTTGCCTGCATGGCGCCATGGAGTTCTCAATCACGGGAACGCCCAAGCCATGCAGTAAACTCACACCTGTCAATACTGCAACTTCTTGTACTTGCTTTGCAAACAAACCTTCGCCCCAATAACGGTTTTTGTGGCTCGGTATTCCCGTCAAATCGCCAATTGAGGATCATATCCGCGTGTGTGTGTGCGGTACATACCATCCTCTTTTCTTCATTTTCGAGAGGCTTAGAGAATGGGAATATAATGCGACCATGATGGGTTATTCTACGACTGTCTCGTCTTTACTCGCGGCACAGTAACCTGTTTGACCCAATTCACATCATATTCTCCCCTCGCCTGACGATTGAGTACTCATCCTCATGTGTATCACGCCCTACTGCCAAAACGAACTGCCGCGTAATGTGTATGAATGTCCAAATGTGCTGTTTGCTAGCCCATCACTTCGACGTGACGTCTAGTGAATGGATGATTTCATAATTGTAATGAGCTTATCTACCTCGGAGAATTTCTCAAGCTATGGCCCGCTTGCCCTGGGGATGATAAGACATTGCTATAGGCATTCGGACCACTGTCCGTTCAATGAGTTCCTAGCAGGATAGTATCCCGAGGAGGCAGAATTACACAAGCGGTCTCCGGGATCCGGAACTCCATGTACGTCTAGTCTACTTCTTCGGGGGCAAGAGCATTATCACATTATCGGCAAGTCGGTGACTCTTTGCTTCGGGAAGTGACAAAACGGCTGTGACGACGAAAATACGTTCAAGACAACCAAGGACGCCGGAATGGAAATAGTCTAGCAATAGCGCGGAGCTTGATGAGAGGTCCCCTCCCCCCTCCCGACTCCCCGAGGTTTGACGGATATGGATTCCGGTGAGAGTGAAGGATGTATTTTGTAGATGAACTGACGGAGAGAGAAGAGGGGAACACATCGGCCTCATTTCGCTAAAGGATGAACAAGGCCATTCACCTTCGAAAGATCATTTGCGTGGAGGAGGGTTCTTGAGTGTGTATCTTGGAAAGAGGGCGCAGTCCCGCATGCCTAGCATACCTAGGTACTGGGCGCCTCTGCTTAGGTCTTGGGATTTCTTCCACCCCCCTTTTCTGCGCCGCAGCCGTGCCGCATTCCTTGTGCCTAGAGCGCATACGAGGTACAAACCTTTCTCTCTTAGGTGAGTGTCTTGAGAGAGACGCGGCATTCCAGCCAAGAGGAGGGGGGCGACGTAATTGCTTCTTGGTAGAGATGGGTATGAGGAGGAGCTAAGAGCTGCAGCCCGCCTGACAGACCGCTATTCGGGGGCTGAGATTTACTATCGTCGCATCCAGATCGATTAAGGTTGTTTTGTTTGGTGGTTTATTCTTTGTTTACCTTGTTATGGAGAAGAACCTTATGGAAAATAGGGGGTGTTCGGGGGTACGGAGTACAGACGTACCTAGCGCTGCGCCGTACCTGCATCTTGCAGCGCTTGGGCGCTGCTGCAGCGGTGAAAGGTACAACCGGATTGGACGGGACGAGCACGCTGTGATGGATCATGGAGGTGTGGGTCTTTGTTGCTGAGCTGGAAATGGAAACATACCGTTAGTACGGATACTCGTGAGTCGTACCTAGTGCAGCTGGTAATTCCAGGCGCATGGTTTTGGCTATGCCATTCTAGATTACAATGAGAAAAACGGTGAGCTGAAAAGAAAGGGTTGGGAGTGTGGGTGAAGCCCATTTTCCAAACACAAAACATTGTAGGAGGAATGTGAAATTTCAACCCAAGGTATGTAAAGAGTACGGACTACCCCCTACTGGACTATCGTTCTAGAGCGATATCCCTTTAATGGGTCGTCGACAATCTCTATATGTGCACATAAGCGGTGTTGCAAACGCGGACGTAAGCGAGATTAACAACCCAACTGAGCCACTATGCGCTGATCGCCATCAATCGACTTTCCACGAATGCATTAGAGCGCATGGATTGTCACCCAGGATTCTTCGGAACAAATGAGGCATTAATGCTAGAGGCATCACGGATGCGGATGACATTTCATAGGGCGACAGGGTTATATACAGTTATCACTTGCTTGACGCCTGTCAGTCGAAGCTTGGCGCTGGGGAAGATAATCTTCATGGGTAACCCTCCCCGAGGGCCGGGGGCCTTTCGGGTTCGTTTCTCCTGCTGCTCACCTTCAAGCTTCCTCACGGATAAGCGGCGTGAGAGAGTCTTATCCTCCCTCGACCAGCGGGTGATCGTACCGGATCCTGGAGGGCGCGGAGACCGTTGAACCCGGTGGAAGCCGGCTGGGCCGGAGCCGTTGGTCATGTCGTGCCGCTTGAAGCGGTGGCTCGAATGTCTTGCGCGTGTTGACTCTCGTCCTCTGCCCTTCAGACTTATAAGGCATCGTGAACATCCTAGGGTTCACGGGTGATTGCCTGTCCGGATGAGGTGTTCAGAGCGAGCGAGTTGGAATTTCGACTGTATTGGGATAGTAAGACGAGGGCTTCGGGGAGCGTCGGTGTGTCTACAATTGTTCCGGCACAATCAGAGCTACTGCGAAGGCTTCTCAATTTTAGTACTTCCCATTGCCTGGATAGGGAGATAGTTATGGGACGCGTTGTTGGATTGACCGTGTCTCTGTAGTTGGATCTGCAGCCCCGAAAGTTCTCGGGATGTTCTCCCTCACACTTACACTTAACTTCGAGTCACTTTCGGGAGTTTACACTTGGGTAAACTTGATTGCGCAGACAGGAAAGTGTGATACGGGACGGATGGGTCTTGCGGGGAGCCGGGTGGGACCATCGCCCGTCTCTGCCTCACCACCAGTATCTTCAAGGAGAATTGACGAAGCAGTCCCTCACTTATAGAGCGTTCACTTGCTCTATAGTGAGACTGGACAAGTATTTAACGGAACTATCAGAGAAGCCGATCTTCAATAATGTTAATTGATGCCTTTTTCTTGCTCGAGAGCGAGAGCTTCGTTGAGTCTGGCTGTGTAAGGTACTTATCAATCGTCTCTCAAGGCCTGTTAGATACTCAATTACTCAAACCCCAACGAAGACAAAGCAAGGTCTGCAAGCTGTGATCTGTGAGCTGCAGGCGGAAATAAGCAATCGGACGAAGATCGAACCCCGTGGGGTCACCAGCCGTTAGAAGAAGCCAAGGTCGGTTGGCGATGTCGGCGTGGTCGGCAATGACGGTCGCTCCCCTTACCCCGGGTCAACGGAATGCGGGGAAGGGTGCCTCCTCAGCGGCAACCCCAGGTCAAGCCAGCCAACGCACCAAGGTCCAAGGGGAGAGAGGGCACGTCAGCTGCTGCTGCAAGGGTAGAGCTGTCTCGTATCTCAACGCCGTCCCAACCTCCAAACTTCCAGCCGTCCGACTGTTTGGGAGAGCCGAAGCCGAGAGGACTCATGTAGTCCCAACGAGTAATGCTTCTATAGTTTTGATGCTATTTCGGACCTCCTTCATCTTTCTGTCGTAATCTCACCGGCGCTCATTGTCTCATTTCTTCACAGCCAATCGAATTTACCACCCATTCGGCAACGCCAGACAGCAAGCCACCGTAAATATGGATAACTTACACCCTCAAGACGAAGTCTTGCGGCATTCCCTTGAGGATCCGGAATCTTTTTGGGCCCACCAGGCCGAACACCTGCACTGGCACAAGAAGCCCTCTTCAACACTCAAAGTCACCAAGAAGACGCTCAAGAGCGGCGTCACCCACGACTCTTGGGAGTGGTTTCCGGACGGAGAAATCTCGACCTGTTTCAACTGTGTAGACCGTCACGTTCATGATGGCAGGGGTGATGCGCCGGCAATATACTATGACAGTCCCGTAACGAATACCAAGCAGACCCTCACATACAAGCAGCTACTCGACGAGGTTGAGGTCTTCGCCGGGGCGCTGAGGGAAGAGGGAGTGAAAAAGGGCGACGTCGTCTTGGTATATAGTAAGTATTCTTCTCATTGTCGGATAGCCAATTTTCCGATCCAAACCTTACACTACTATTAGTGCCCATGATTCCCGCGGCATTGATAGGCATACTCGCCGTCAGTCGCCTAGGTGCAATCCACGCCGTCGTATTCGGCGGGTTCGCACCGGCCGCTCTCGCCCAGCGTATAGAGGCCTCTCAGCCCGTGGCCATCCTGACGGCTTCGTGTGGTATCGACGGTAATAAGCCGCCCATGAGCTACAAGCCGCTCGTTGAGGAGGCTTGCCAGATCTCCAAGCACAAACCCGACAAGGTGGTTGTATGGCAGCGCGAGCAGATCCGGTGGAACCCCATCAAGAGGAACGACGGTGAGAGGAACTGGCAGAGCATTGTAAAGAGCTGTCGTGCGAGGGGCGTTAGGGCCGATTGCGTGCCTGTCAAGTCGACGGACCCGATCTACATCATCCACACATCTGGTACGACGGGTACGCCAAAAGGCGTGTTGAGGGATGCTGCTGGACACGCTGTCGGGCTGCATCTTTCTATCAGCTACTTGTTCAACATCCACGGCCCCGGCTGTGTTTCGTTCACAGCGTCAGATATTGGATGGGTACGTTTTGTCAAGCTCCCACGGGGCTGGGTCAGATTCTAATGTTAGGTGGTTTAGGTCGTAGGGCACAGCTATATCGCATACGCCCCCCTCTTCACGGGTGCCGCCACCGTCCTCTACGAGGGCAAACCCGTCGGCACACCTGATGCCTCAGCCTTTTGGCGCATCGTGGAAGAGTACAAGGTCAATACCATGTTCACAGCGCCGACGGCTCTCCGCGCCATCAAGCGCGACGATCCCGAGAACAAGCTCTTCAAGCAGATCGGAGAGCGCGGCGGCCTCCGGACGCTCAAGGGGCTCTTCCTGGCGGGCGAGCGGTCCGAACCGGCAATCATCACAATGTACCAGGAGCTTCTTGAAACCTACGGCGCAGTCGACGCCCACGTTGTGGACAACTGGTGGTCGACGGAAGCCGGGTCGCCCATCACGGGGCGGGCTCTCGTGCCGCATGCCGGAAAAGACCGCGGTACGGATGTGCGTGGCCATCCGCCTCCCAAGATCAAGCCGGGCAGCGCCGGAAAAGCCATGCCTGGCTTCGACGTCCGCATCGTGGATGATGACGGTAAGGAACTTCCGAGAGGCACGATGGGAAACATCGTCCTCGGGTTGCCTCTTGCCCCGACTGCTTTCAGAACTCTGTGGCAAGATGAGGAGCGGTTTTACAAAGGCTATCTGAAGCGTTTCAATGGCAAGTGGTTGGATACGGGGGATGCAGGCTACATCGACGTCGAGGGTTACGTCAACGTCATGTCCCGTAACGACGACGTACTCAACGTTAGCGCTCATCGTTTGTCAAGTGGTAAGCATCGTCCTCGTCCTCGTCCTTGGAAGTTCTTTTCCATGCCAAATAGAAAGCCCCCCGAAGCTAACAACAAGATAAAACAGGCGGCCTCGAACAAGCCATCACATCCCACCCCCTCGTCGCGGAAGCCTGCGTGGTGGGCATCCCGGACGCGCTCAAGGGCCAGCTCCCCTTCGCCTTCATCACGCTCTCGACGCCCGAGCACCCGACCTCGGCGGTGCCCGACGCGAAGCTCGCCGACGAGATCAACGCGCTCGTGCGGTCGCAGGTCGGCGCCATCGCCACGCTGGGCGGGCTCATCCAGGGCAAGGGAATGATTCCCAAGACGCGCAGCGGTAAGACGCTGCGCCGCGTCCTGAGGGAGCTGTTGGAGAACGCGGTGCACGAGGAGTTTGAGAAGGAGGTCCAGGTGCCGAGTACGGTCGAGGATGCTGGCGCGGTGGATGTTGCGAGAGAGAAGGTGAGGGAGTATTGGGAGGTGAGGGGGGATGGACATAAGAGTACGGAGGCTAGAGCGAAGTTGTAGATAGCACCTTTTGCTACGCACGACAGAGAAGCCTGCGCCAATCGTTTCATCACCTGTTCGTAACTGTGTTTTGGTGTTGAAGATCACACATCAAGACATTCTACTAACCAAGATAAGATAGTACAGCCACGAACGTTACGAGTGATATCATGAGCTCCAGTAACAAGCCTGAGAATCAAAAAGCGGATATAATACTTTGATTCTGAGATATCGAGAAATGAGAATATGACCGCCTTATCACTTAGTATCCAACGTCGGTCGATATGTATTGAAGTTAGTGGGAAGGGATGTCAACGCACCACGCTGGATCTGTTTCCGTCACGAATCAAACCCGTCAATGACCGTATAACGTCTTAGTCACGAATAATATAAACTACTATCGTTCACTGGCTTTTTTCTTAAAAAAGAAAAAAAAAAAGAGCTGTCCGGCTTACTAGGGAAACATATGATGTAGATACTCCGCTAATTAAAGAGGAACTCAGTCTACTCGATCTCGATGGCTCAAGAGACTTGATCTTCTCAACAAGGTTTCAATCTCTCTGAACAGTTTTCAGAAACCCGTTCACCGGTCTTTAGTCTGAATCTATGTACAGGGTACCGGGCTGAGGAGATATGAGGGGTTGTCATGAAAGACTGCGGTACGCTGCTGGCCGATCCTTTGAATATTCCGTCATTTCCTCGTCATAGTCGGAATCCGCCGTAGACGTAGGCCTCATAGCCAGCTATATCAAGCTCAACAGTGTTAACATATTCGTCTAGATTTCCTTGGTAGCTGCTAGGTAACTATATCGAAACATTCAACCCCGACCATCGGACGCTGAGCTCCCATGGTCTGGACTCGCCCAACTGAACTAAGGACACTGAGCCAAGAAAGCCTAGGCCGACCGCAATCTCTCCCCTGAAGCAATTGCCACCGACGACGACAACCATCGTGCGACATGAAGCCGTCGTTGTAAAGCGACACGCGCCCGCAGGATGGGTGGTATGACGAAAATCGAGAGCCCTCCATCCCGTATTCACGATCTCCTCGGTCACACCCTTCCGCCCTAGGCCTCGTCATGGTCAGCTTGTGTGACGAAAAGAGAGCGTAAGTTCGTCCCTCCAGGGCCATTGACGTTCAAATGTATACGATCCCATGGCGGGAAGACGAGGCTCGAAGGAAAACCTGATACCCGTACCGAGTCACGGCCGTCGTACCATGTTTGCTCACGGGCCGTCGGACGTGTGACCAGGTTCGAAGCTGAGCGGCTGTTTCTCATCTCCGTCCAGGGATAGGTTCATCGGGAAATACGATTTAGGTTCCGGTGAAATGGGAGACGGGGGGCATCATCTACGGAAGTTCGACTGAGAGGACAGGACGTGACAGGCATGGATCGAATATTTACGAGCGAAACGGTAATGGTGGTTATGAAGTTCCAAATGGAATAGCAAACTAGAGAAGTTCCAACCAAC